GAAACGTTGTACATTTGCTGTTATATTAAAGTTTTTCTTCATTACCCATTCAAGCCGTCTCCAGCCATTATTAGTTGGTAGTTGTATTATCATATTGAAAGCTTATTTGTTTGTACTTAAGCACAAAGTTACACAATGGGCTAACCCGGTTTCTAGCGTTGTGAGTTCGCAGATATACCGCTGTGCCACTGGGGGGCAGATCGAAAGCTTAACAGCAAGTAGTGTATGTTATATTAGTTTTGATACATGTACTGTGATATCAAAGCAGCTGCATAACAGTAGTGAATTTGCATCACTTGGATTCCTGTACCACCATAAAACGGTAGTTTATTACTAAGGATATAACTTTGACATTTCCGGATTGAATGAAAAAGTTGTCGTATAACTTTTGTTTTGAGGCTTGTTGTCCACATCATGATTATATATTTTTTAAATAATTGTAGGTCAAAGCGTGTATAAGTTATGAAACAATATATATCTTCTCACAACTGTACCTAAATATTTACATATATTAAAATTGAAACACTACCTCACTCAATTAGGCAAGAGGAACTTACCTCGCAAGAGGACTATACTTCAGTTTTTGCGCATGGCTTTTAATTGAATAATGACCTACCAAACGTAGTAAAGAAATCCTCTCTCTATACTTCGTGAGTTGCTTAGAAAAACCCCCATTAGTGAATGACTCGTTAGTTAATCGGAGTAAGCTCATTGAATTTTTTTATACTGTGCTTTTGTAGTATTATTACTAATAGTGAAAAAAAAACAAAAAAACCTAAAACGCAAGATGCTACTTCGCAGGATAAAATTTAACCTCTATAGTATCGGAAGAATTTCATCGTTACTAATTACTAATTATCTTTACTTTGCACATCGCGCAATTTAAACTTCCCATGATATGTGAAAATTGCAGCACTCTGAAGCCTCACTCAAAATCGTTTCATAACATTCTCTTACCATGCTGGAAAGTCCTGATGTGGTCAAATCTCCTGATTCCTGTTGCAGTCAGTCGTTCAAGCACATCCAGGGCTGATCTATTGTTGCTGCAAGCTTCCATTTCTCATGTGCACGTTTTAGTTTTATTTTATTACTACTATTATTTTTTTACAAAGTCAGTGCAAGAGCTTTGTGAATTTTAATATGTAGAAATGATTAACGATGTGTGCAACTTTCCACCAGTTTGTGAACTTTAGAAATGATAGCGGCAATCCTGCGTTTTGGGGGAGGGGAATACTTTCCCATCCGTTCCCCAATATTTGTGCTGATCTTCCCTTGTCGATGCTGTTCACGGTTTTATAGATAGTCTGTTTATGAAATTGATGCGCGCTGTACAGAAACTTTTCATGTGATATAAACTCCAGCCACAAATTTATCCGTGGCTTCATGTTCTGTCAAATGGTTGGGAATTTGCTGTAAACCAAATCTGCAAGAGCCAAACATATTTGTCTTTCATTTGCGGCGACGCGCCATTGTATTAGTATATATAAAATCGTCGTTACATAGGGCGAATACCGTAATAGTGTAGATAACTAATATGACTTGAACCTGTCGTTAATGTGCCTTCCTCTTGGCGAATGTTGTATTCTTAGCCACAGTAAATTTGCAGTTTGTGTGATATTCTTTAACTTAAGTCCCCTTATAATTTAAGATTTTTAATATGTGTATTGTAAAGTTAACCAACATAAACATTAAACGTGAGGTTAACCTTTGTTATTAAATATTGGGTCACCTTCTTCGACTGTGAAACATTGGACCAATTTTTAAAGCATGTTTAATGTAAAGATAATTCATAAGGTTATTAAGTAGAGAATTAACCTATACAGTAATGTCAAACGTTTGTGAAACTTGCAGTATCGTATCGTGTTTCTTTTCTGGTTCATGCACAATATAAGATCAATGCTCAGCAATAATTAGCAGTAACATTGTGCAACTTAATCCTCACAATTGTAATGGGAGAATATTTCGTTCAGCACAATAGCACGAAGGTTGTTAACCATTAAGAATAGTAGAAAATTATACTTTGGGTGTATAACTCGGCAGTTTAAAACTCACTGCAGTAAATCCAGAGAGCCTCTTTTTTTTAAATTTGACTTGCGATGACAAACACGAATATTTTTCAAACGATATCCAACTTACCTGTACAAAAGCAACAGATATCTTCTGTCAACATTAACTTGTGCAGCATTCAGTAAACAGACTATTTTGAATATATTGGAGACTATATAATTTAAAACACAAACTTTAAATCCGCTGAGATTATTTTTTGTTTGTTTGTTTGTTATTTGAGACTAAGCATCTAACTTGGAGAAGAAATGGGTCATATGCTTAAATTAAGTTCGTCTTGACCTAGTTAAAGGATTGTAAGTAGATTTCACTTGTCTTATGCAGGATTCAGTATAACGCAGTTATAATACAAATAAAGTGAAAAGCATTGCCATTTCTTTAAGTGATAGTTACTTAATTGTAAACGTAATAATTTGTCTTATAAACTTGAACCGATTTATATGATGTTAAGTAATTCTCGGTAAAGTTAGAGAGTCATTGAAAGTAAAAGTCATCGTGAACAATATAGTCTGGTAACGAGATTAACTCGTAAATTGACTTCATCTAGGTATACCAAGACTGGTATATTTGCATGGTCGTTTGAGTTAATGCTTAAAATATATTACTTGTAGGTTGCTTCGGTGGTTTCATTGGATTATTGGTTGTCATTATTAACGGTGGATAATTTCTTTCATGACAACCGGTATTTTAAATTACAATAGTGTTAAAACTGAAATGTTCGTTTTAGAGAAACTTGAATGTTCAAGTTATTGTAGCGCGAATACTGATGCTTTACTCTGAACGGTATAGTTGTTTAAACATTGCAGTGTCAGAAGTAAATTTTTGGTTTCAGTCAGGATATTCATGTTATACGTTGTTAACATCGATATGTTAATTTCAGCTTTGTGCACTTTCCACTTGTAAAAATGGGTATATAATTTCCAGCTAAATTAAAAATGTTATATGACATTGCATTGTATAGCACATACACTATAACGCTCTGAAATTTATAAATATGGCAGAGCTTTGATACTGGACAAAAACTTGTTAGAAAACGCCATTCTAACCCGTTTATTATATATAAGGACTTTCTAATATCTGCTGAGTTAATTACTTTTTTCCAGCATTACACATCTACTACTCATTTGTATCCGTAATATTTCCACTAGGCGGCGCTGAACGAATCGCTGAGTACTTTCGATTCTCATGGTAACCTGCGGGGCCATCGGAAACAGTAACGATCAACTTCTAGGACTGTATGCCTCTGGTAAGTTAAGGCTTTTTAAATGCACTTACTATTTCACACCAGACGTTCAGAAATATTCCCTTCTGGCCTCAGAAACTAAATAGAAGAAATAGCATTTTCTGAAGTTTTCAACCATCTTTTTTCTTAAATTTAATTTACAACTGTTCTACAAGTTAAATTAGAAACTAGAACTAAGCTGCGTGGGGGAAGGAGATGTGCACGTGTATGGGTGTGAAGAGGAGCGAGAGCACACACACTGAAGATTGTACGTACTTCTCGAGAGAGTAAAGGTTTTATTTTGGGAATGTTGCCAGTGTAACAGTGTGTTCCATCTGATGTATGCCAGTACCTGGTCCACTGTGAACATCCTAAGATCCTGAAAGAGGGGATGATCGACGCCAAATTCTGGGGAGTAAGTACATTATTTCAGTGGATTAAGTGCGTATTGAGAAAGAAATAAACTTTTAATATTTCGGAAGTATATACACGTGTATACGCGTATGTATACAAAAATTATAAAACGTTTTTATTACTTTCTGTTTTAGTATGTATAGATACTCTTCAGAGTAAAATTACAAACATAATCCAAAGAGCATCTATAGATGCCAAACCAGTATATTTATAATATAATAAGTTTTAAAATTGTGGGACATGCATTTAAAATACTTTTATTTAATGTGTCGGAAAATAATTAGGAATATCTCGTATATCAAATAATTTTCTACTTCAAAAATTTAGTTTATTTATGCTGTTCATATAAGCTAAGATTAAGAAACAGTTGTGTTTTTATTGTTAAGTAAACGAATGGTTCATAAAAATGTGCTGTTATTAAAGCAAAGAAATATTTTTTACAAATCTGTTGATAAAAATACACTAATGTATTATGTTAGTTTTATACGTGTATTTAGCCTGAGTAATAAGTATGTTAATTTACGTACGGCGGTTGTTAAGAGAGTAATTACTATTATATCCCTGTTGCTTGATGACAAAAGTTGAGCCCCAAAGTGGCACAGCGGTATGTCTGCGGACTTACAACGCTAGAATCCGGGTTTCGATACCCGTGGTGGGCAGAGCACAGATAGCCCATTGTGCAGCTTTGTGCTTAATTACAAACAGACATAAGTGGGCCTATTTAATGTTTATACAATTTTTATTTTTTTTGAGGACCGTATGTACTTTCACAGGTCTGTTGCGTATGTTTGTTTTTTAAAAATACATTATTACATACGCAGTTTCTTCCAGGGTATTCACAAGGTAACAGAATTTGGTTTCTAAGTATTTTACATAAATCATTTGTTGGTGTGTAATTACTTCTAAAAGTCTGTTACGAAACTAAAGCTGACAAATGAATGTTTTACACAAGCCAGCTATAGGTATCACAATTAGGATTATGAATGCTGTATTTACAAGTGTATTAGGTTTGTGTCAGCACTGCAGAGATCTGCTGTTTCCTGAAACTTTTTCATTAAGAGTTTATCGAAAAGTAAATAAACTTGTTATGGTGTGAACGCCTTTTCTGAGTCTGTGAACATAATTATAATGAATTGTACTTTTTAAAAGACATTAACGATAGGTCTATTATATTTTTAACACTGCATTGTTTATTCAGTCCCTAAGGATTTTGTAGAAGGAACGCGTGTGATAGTGTTTCAACTGCACTGTGTCCTCCATATTCATTTCCACGACGCGTTTCGTTCAATACAGAGCTCATAAGGCCAGCTGGGACCCAACAGCCACAGTCGGAACACTATTGTTTAAGTCATTTGTTACAATAACAGTTGCTTCGTCAGTGATTGCTATGGCGGACATGTGGTTGAAATATTATTATACACTTATTGAGAAACACTAAGGGAATGAAAAAGAACATAGTATTAAAAAGTATAATAGGTTTAGCAGTAATGTCTCGTGACAAGTAAATTCAATAAACTGTTGATTCTTTTGCACATGCTTGTTGTTTAATACGTAAATAATTGAAATATATCATAACGTGTTAGGTTAGTAAATAAAAACGTGTGTTTTTCACTCGTTCGATATGAAAGTACGAAACTCAAGATTAGACTCGTATATATTGCACAATATCCTTTTTTATTTTTATTATTGTCAAAAAACGTGTCTGAAACATTTGGACATTAGTATACTACAATGATCCGTATGATAACTATCGTATAAAAGCTATTGTCTTGTGACCCCAAATTTTCTACTGTAAATGTCAAAATTGGTACAATTCAAGATTTTAATGGTGGTTTTATATCCGTATAATGTTTTTCTACGTAAGACGAAGTTGAATGCTTGTAATTAATTTCGTTTGTTGCTTTGGATGTTGTTTAATGTATAATTGATTTTTTAAGTTATTTTCTTATCTTTATTGGATAGCCTGTTTGGCGAAATTTACTTTAAAAACCTAATTAATAAAACAGACAAATAACATAAAAATTCTCAGATATTCTTTTCCGGTATCGCTGTGTAAAATTAAACATTTAAAATATGTGGTAATTAACTGTTTATGCATATGTGTGTATTTTGACTACATAAATCAGAATATTTAGACTGTAAGTAATTTATCTACTCAAATGTATATGTTTAGACGTTATCATTATTACTGTTTACATTAACTACGTTATATTCAATTGTTTCGGTATTGTATAGTTAGACACGTTATGCTCAACTGTTCCCGTATTACTGTATAGCATAAATACGTTAGACTGAAATGTCTTTGTATTACTGTATAGCATAAATACGTTAGACTGAAATGTCTTTGTATTACTGTATAGCATAAATACGTTAGACTGAAATGTCTTTGTGTTACTGTATAGCATAAATACGTTAGACTGAAATGTCTTTGTGTTACTGTATAGTATAAATACGTTAGACTGAAATGTCTTTGTGTTACTGTATAGCATAAATACGTTAGACTGAAATGTCTTTGTGTTACTGTATAGCATAAATACGTTAGACTGGAATGTCTGTATTACTGTATAGCATAAATACGTTAGACTGAAATGTCTTTGTGTTACTGTATAGCATAAATACGTTAGACTGAAATGTCTTTGTGTTACTGTATAGCATAAATACGTTAGACTGAAATGTCTTTGTGTTACTGTATAGCATAAATACGTTAGACTGAAATGTCTTTGTATTATTGTATAGCTTACGTACATTAGACTGGAATGTCTATGTATTACTGTATAGCTTACGTACGTTAGACTGAAATGACTTTGTATTAATGTATAGCTTAAATACGTTAGACTGAAATGTCTTTGTATAACTGTATAGCTTAAATACGTTAGACTGGAATGTCTTTGTATTACTGTATAACATAAATACGTTAGACTGGAATGTCTGTGTATTACTGTATAACATAAATACGTTAGACTGGAATGTCTGTGTATTACTGTATAACATAAATACGTTAGACTGGAATGTCTGTGTATTACTGTATAACATAAATACGTTAGACTGAAATGTCTGTGTATAACTGTATAGCTTAAGTACGTTAGACTGGAATGTCTATGTATTACAGTATAGCTTAAGTACGTTAGACTGGAATGTCTATGTATTACAGTATAGCTTAAATACGTTAGACTGAAATGTCTATGTATTACAGTATAGCTTAAATACGTTAGACTGAAATATCTTTGTATAACTGTATAGCTTAAGTACATTAGACTGGAATGTCTTTGTGTTACTGTATAACATAAATACGTTAGCCTGGAATGTCTTTGTATTACTGTATAGCTTACGTACGTTAGACTGAAATGTCTGTGTATAACTGTATAGCATAAATACGTTAGACTGAAATGTCTGTGTATAACTGTATAGCATAAATACGTTAGACTGAAATGTCTGTGTATAACTGTATAGCATAAATACGTTAGACTGAAATGTCTATGTATTACAGTATAGCTTAAATACGTTAGACTGAAATGTCTATGTATTACAGTATAGCTTAAATACGTTAGACTGAAATGTCTTTGTATTACTGTATAGCTTAAATACGTTAGACTGAAATGTCTTTGTACTACTGTATAGTTAAAAATGTTAGACTCAAGTGATCCGGTATCACTGTGTAGTCTAAATACGTTAGACTCGAGCGGTCCCGTATCACTGTGTAGTTTAAATACGTTAGACTCGAGTGTTCCCGTATTATGTATAGGTTGAATACGTTAGACTCGAGTGTTCCCGTATTCCCATGGATTGTATTTTAAGAAAGTCATACTAATGTGTTCTGTTATATGGACTTAAATATATGAGGCCCAAGTTTTAAGTAGTATCACTGTGGAAGCTAAATACGTTTGAGTTACGTGCTCCGTTTTATTTTAAGTACGGTAGTACTTAATAGTAGGGATTGACAAGGATTCCAAATAATTCACATGCCGAAAATCCACCCTATTGAATTCCTAAACGAAAAACCGACCATTCAAAGTATTGGTTAAGATATAGTATGCGGATATATACTAATAATACGCTAAAATGGTGCTAACATTTCGGGTATAACAATTCAAAAATTTCTAAAACAGCAACTTTTTCGTCTATTGCCTACCTACCTGATCATGTCAGCGGGTCTAGCACTTAGATGGCTCGGACTATCGCTTCAAGATTTCTCCAGATTACTTGACTGGTCTGTGGGTATCCGCTTTTGATATTCCGATAAAAATCCACACTCACACACATCGCTTCATATCGATGGAAAGACACGCGACAGTTTTTAATGGTAAAGTATGTACTTTATACGGGTATAACATAAAAAAGTAAGCAAACAAGAGTATCAAAATATATTAATTTTAAATGAAGTAAGAATCCTGCTATAAAAAGTAATGAAGCAAGAATTAAAACCACAATCACAAATTTATAAGATTCAATCCCTACTTTGGCAGCTTCATACACTTATTTGTAGGCCAAGGTAAGGATTAAATTTTACAAATTTGTGATTGGGGTTTTAATTTTTGTTTCATTACTTTTTATATCAAGATCTAAACTCCATTTTAAAATTCATAATTTTTGATATTTTTGTAAGCTTATTTATTACTTCATCAAATGTCAATATCTATCTCAAATACTGCAAAAACTATACACACATCTCGGTGTCGACGTATGTTAACTTTTCTTGTTCAGTCTTATTTTCAGGCACACAACTTGATTAACTTTTGATCCTAGTGTTATCGACATTATATAAAAAGGCACAAAATACATTTTATACTTACTTCATTGAACACCTTTGTAAAAATAAATTTATGAAAGCCACGCGTATACACATATTAGCTTTGTTCCATAAAGTTAAGAAAAAGAAAGTCGCAATATTGTCTTCGAGAGCATTTAAAATGGCTACATTGGCGGACTATTTGTTAAAATGGAAAAAAAAATGTATATTGAAAAGGTTATAACAAAATTCTTGAGTAAATTATTATACGTCAGCTATATAAGCCTATTGTTCACTTTAAAGAGAGTACAGCAGGGGCTCAGCGGTAAGCTTGAGTGGTGATACTGTGAAATCCGAGGTTTGATTCCGTGCAGATAACCTGTTGTATAGCATTTCGCTTAAGAACAAGCACTTTAAAGATCGTATTGTTAAAGTGGGATGTTAAAAAGTGGTTTGTTGATGCAGTTACTCTAGCGGAAGGGATTGTTGTATGGGCTCAGGTACTCGTTTAGAAAGAGAGTATTTCAGAGATTTATTTCAAGACAGAACTAACAGTTGACTCGTTACTGCACATTGAACAAGCTAAGTCAGTTTAACGTACTCAACATAACAAAACGTAGAATAAACTCTTGAATAAAAGGGCTTTTTGGGAGTAATGTGTTTATAGAAAGATGATTTGTAGTGTGTATACATTGATTAAATCACATTCGAATTATGTAGCTGAGGAAAAGGAGAAAGCTTAACACGTGTAAATATTACTGGTTCTCTCCTCCCCTCCCCCCCCACACACTCTCTCACCGTGTGTTTTTAAATCAGTCTGTAATTACTCATTACACATTTTATCTGTATATAATTAAACAATTAGACCAAAAACCTACAGCTTCACACGTACAGGGTAGACGTGTGAAACAATAGGGGAAGCACATATACGAACTATAAATTGGAAACGGTAGAACTAGTGAGAGAGGCATTTGCAGAAAACGAACGTACATATTGGTGGGAATGCACCGCCTCTCAGTCATCATTTGCAAACGTCATATGTGAACTCAGATTTGGATATGTGTTCTTTCTTTTGTACCTGATGAAGAATAATCGAAGGTTGGGATATAATGTTATATTGCAATTTTTTTTATTGTTTTGTTTGGAATCTGTAAGGTTTTATGCATATTTAATCATTTGTATTGTGCGGTTTTGTATTCTAGTCAAAATTACTAAAATGTTCATTATAATTAAATGCCCTTACAATAGTAGAATTGTATAAGTTTGTTAATTAAGTTTTTGTGAAGTAACAGTTTTACTTAGTGTTTAAAAAAAATACAAAGTAAATACTTTTTACTTTGAAATTTTAGCACATTTCTCTTCATTACAAGTAGCAGCAGTTCTTAAGCAGTCCATCCTAGCCAAAACCCCAGTTTGCTATGTTTTTTAACAGATTCATTTTTCATCACGCGTTTTCACTTCATGTACACATTATCGAAAACCCTAGTCACACGTTTAAATATCATGGTTTCAAATAATGTCTGGAGACGGCTTGAATGGGTAATGAAGAAAAACTTTAATACAAGTTTAACATAACAGCAAATGTACAACGTTGTACATTTTCTGTTATGTTAAACTTTTATTAAAGTTTTTCTTCATTACCTATTCAAGCCGTCTCCAGCCATTATTAGTCTCAAAGTGGGTTCCTCGTCACCGATTTTGAAATCATGGTTTCAAGTATTTCAAAGCGTTACTACTGTGTTTAGAATATTTCTATGAGATCCTGGCATGGCTATTTAAACAAAACGCTTAATTTGTTTTGTTGTAGATATTTCCAGCGTGTTATTGTGAAAGCGAGACTGGTAGTGACATTTGTTAAGATGCTGTAAATAATTTGCCTAGAAAATTGAGGGTGCTGCTGACAGCTAGCCGGCTGACTTGAGTGGCTGGCTGTGTTTAACTTAATTCTCAGCATGCTTGATAAAAAGTGTAATGAAATCTATAATAAGCTGCGGCAAGTTACTTTTGTTTTATTATAAGTATACAGTTATCATGCTGCTTTGTGGTTTGTCATATTTGGGGAATGTATATATCATATGATTAATATTTAATTCAGATCTGAAATGTGTGATACTCTTTATACCCCAAATCCTGACCTCTGTATAATTTTTTTTTATTTCGAGTACTAACACCTTTATTGAATATTGCCATAAATATTGCCTCCTTTGATAAATTGTACCACACTTGATGACCTAATTAATAGCCTGAATAGAAGTTATTACTCTATGTCCTGACTCAATAATAACCTTTACCCTAAGAATATTGAATATTCTGACGGTTATCCAATATGATGGCCTCAGTAATAACCATTATTCTAAGTTTTGAAAGCATTTCCATGACAACCTTCACCTTGATTTCTATAATGACCACCCCGTACACTGACAACTGACCGATCACTTCATATTCTGGGACCGGGCGTGGCTCAGTGATTAGTATTACCGGAGCATGAATCCTCTTGCCTCAAAAACGCTCTGTTGACTAGTTGCCTTCAACTCTAGTCTATCAATTCAAAATTAGGGACGGCCGTGCGCAAAATATATTCTGACTACATAAATAGTCTGTACAATGAGTACAAATAATTACCCAATTTTTGAAAATTTGATTTGTAAATAACTTAAATAAAATTGATAATGATTGCATTCACTTGCTTAATCTGGTTCACGCCATAACAGTCACTCGCTCTTCATGAAAGAATGCTTAATTAGCTATGACTTTTCCTTCCCATATCTAATTTCATCGACAACTTTTTCATTTGAGCGTAATATAGGAGCTATAGGGAAGCAATAAAAAATCAGTAAAATACATAATGTTCTAAAGAAACTTGATGGTATGATTTGTTGCATACGCTAACAGACCCCCAAGGCCATCCTTGACAGAAGACTCAGTGTTGTGGCCTCACGTTTTTGATTTATGATAGGTGGAAATAAAAATATTTTGTAACGGGTAAACGTTTGAGTCACATTATTTCAATGTTATTTTGCCGGCCATGATAAACCGCCCATTACAGTTTAGCCGTTTAGAAATAGTTTCTGATCAAAATTATACACGTACATGGTAAAATCATATTACCAGTTAATATCACCTGCTTTGTACTACCGGTTCAGCAAGAACTGCGAATTAGGTCACTCAAATCAAGGCTAGCAACTTATTTACATATGCATGACTTTCATTAGTAACCAAGGCCAGACTATACCACCTAGTTGAGTGCACGTAGAAACAGTTGCTTCTTCACGTTGTCTGTGTAGGTATTACTGTTGGTAAAATCAGTACAAAATAAACATGTTTTAAAGTTCTTCATTCGTAACACTTGTACATCTTCGAAGGAGAGTGATTATCAATATAAAAAAAATATACCAGAAAAATATTATAATGAATCTAAACAACAGTATTTAATTGATATACAGACCAAAGGGATAAAACAACAACAAAAAACGAGATAGGCTTTGCATCTTATCAACAACTTTATATGTGAATTATTTTAATTGAATTAATTAGCCAAGTCATTAGGGCTAGTGATTTGCGATTTACTCATGACAGTGTATTGTTTTGTGCTAACTGTGTGCGTGCGTATGGGTTGTGTAAAAATACAACAAAACCTGATCGCGCCAGTGGCTCAGCGGTAAGTTTGTAGGTATACAACGCTAAAACTCGGGTTTCCATACGCCTAGTGTGCAGAGCACAAGTAGTCCATTGTGGTGTAGCTGTGCGCTTAACAACAACCACCAAATTAGCAAAACTGTAACATATATATGCCACACACACACACACCAGTGGCTGTACTGGTTGAGGGATGAGATGGTATCCCCCATACCGTCGTCCTTTGACTGGTTAGAAGCATGCTCTGTTAAAGGAGATGTTAACATGTTGTAATTACCATGTACTGTCAATTAAAGTAATCTTTTGTGTATTTTGATGAACACAAAATAAGTGTCTTAAATAACGTTTTGTATTGAATGGAGAATTTCTTTCTTTTCCCCCTTTTTTTTTTGCCTTGTAGAATGAACTTTTGTTCATTTTAAGGTGATTTTTTTTGTTCCGCAAAAAATAATTTCATTTCCATTTATATTGTTCGTTCTATTGTAGTGTGAATTTCTTTTATTGTAATCACTCCCTGTGTTAAGTGTTATGTTACTTGTTATCCGTGAAGATTAGCACTGGTCATTAAAGATGTTTGTTGAGCGTACGATAAATACCATTCTTTTATATTTCCAACGTTTTTCGTGGGTAGTTTGGTTTACTTATTGAGTTTGTGCGATGTTTTTTCAGGATGAATTTCATCCATTTATTGAGGCTCTCCTGCCTCACGTCAAGGCTTTCTCATACACCTGGTTCAACTTGCAGGCAGCTAAGAGAAAATACTACAAAAAACATGAGAAGCGAATGACTCTGGAGGAAGAAAGAAGATGCAAAGAAGAGTTACAGGTAAAGAGTAAGACTGTTTTCTTTTAATAGAGAGATTCAGATACACGTAATCACGTGTAACTCACAGTAACATTTAAACTGAAAACACACAGTTGTTATTTTCTATTTTGTTTTCTTGAAGTTGAAGGTAGTCCTTGAGACTGCTTAACATTTATTTGGAAAACTAATCCTGTCGCTTTGTCAACTTTTTCTTTATTTTGAATCTCGTATAGGTAGACAAATTTAGATAGATTTGGTTATTTTTAAAGAAGTACATAGATTCATATAGGTAAATGTGTATGTTCAGAAATAACGGTTAAAAGGAATTGTTTGTAGAGATTGGACATAACACTAACGATTTGGAAACTAATAGATAAATGTAAAAGATGTCATTTGTCTAATTGAGATGTTAATCATAGGAAGAAAATTGAAACGTAATAGAATGTATACAGATAACAGTAGATTAGAATGTAATTGCTATTCATTCATAGTAGCAGTTAAAATCAGTATAGTACTGAGCTGAAAGTTAGCTAAGTTGTGCTTTGGTGCCTACAGTATAAAAATAGTTAAACGTGTTTTCGTTTGTGGTTTATTTAAACAGATGTTTGTCTTTGAGCAATGTTCTTTCTTTTTTCCCTATGCTGGTGTTGTTATGCTAAAATAACTTAATGAGACGCATAGAAGAGAATGCAGACATTGCAGAAAACTTTGCTGGGGAGATAAAAACTTAGGGCCTCAGAAGTTCTGTGATCTGTTTAAATAGTGAACTGTGCAGAAACGAAAAACTGGAAACAGCTTAGGAAACTGTGCTAAACTTTAAACATATCACAGAACTTCTGAGGCCCTAAGTTTTAGTTTCTGTTAGTGAATTGTGCAGAAACGAAAAACTGGAAACAGCTTAGGAAACTGTGCTAAAGACAGAAACTAAAACTTAGGACCTCAGAATATCTATCCTAAATGATGATAAGGGGTCAAACTCAAAATAAAACTTTTAAAAAAGAAGATGGCAAAAGAATTGTTTGTTACGTTTTCAACAGTTTCCCCTGTTTCCCTCCCCTTTGAGGAAGAAATCTTAATTCCACTCCACCAGCTCTCTTTCACACATTCTCCTTGAAGTGAATCAAGTCAACACTTTGCTATCACGGAAAGCTAGGTAGAGAGGGGCTTGTGGTTTTTTTATTCATTCAGGATCACGTAAGACAACGTCATTCAAGATTTTTGTAGTTTTGTTAGCTAGACGGGCGTGGGTCTGTTTAATCGTCTTTGTGTTCACTTTAGTTACAGGGTTTCCTTGTGGGTTACAAGCATGTTGGAACTGTGGATAAAATATTGTTATGAGTACAATAAAAGATGCTACTCGTTACAGGTTCCTTTTATGTAATGTCAATAACATTCAGTTTGTTAAAGAAGGAGGTTTCAGAACGGAACGGTGATTATTTGAAATATAGCCTGTAGAATATTGTTGTATACGGAATGAGTCGGACCGCCACCACGTGTAGGAGTAATAAAAAGCTTTGTCTCAACATGCAAGGACAAATTGACCCAATATTCTTTAAGTTAGACGGGGCAGGCAGAATACTCGAGCTTTTAATCATGATTATCGGGTGCATGAAACAAGCTTGTAGAAACGACTGTTATTTACGTTTTTCTTGGACTAATAATTATGTAAACCAAGTAAATGTACTAAAATAAGTACGTCACTCGTTGGCTGACGTGTATGTATTATATATAGAAAATTATGTTAGTTAAAACGATTATTTGTATATTATCTTGACGCTGCTGTGACTATAGCAAAACATGTATCCATCCAGCTTCCCAAACCTGTAAACGTTTCATGTAACCGCTCGAACTAGGCCCTATCGTGTTTTATAAGCATAGGTGATATGAAAATTAACAGAAATATCGTTAAACGTATTTATTAACGGTGATTGTTATTTTGACCTTAGTTCTTGAATGTTTATCAATACTGTATTACTTCGTGATTTATTCTAAGATATTTCATAGAAATTCTTCATGTATGAGTAACACACATACATACTAACAAACGGAATTGAAAATCCCAAGTTTGCCATATCGCATTGTTGTTGACTTTATTGACTGAGGAACGTACTGTAGCTGGCTTGCAGAGACTCATCTAAATAGCGCTGTTAAACCATACATTTCACCATTTCTTGGGTCTCTCTCTCTTTTACACACACACACACACACACACACACACACACACACACACT